CACTGATAGAGAAACAGGTCAGATCTTCTCCTGCCACAATCCCTGAAGCTCCCCTGGAGGACTCTGGATCGTCGGGAGTCTTGGGACGAGCAGCGAAGATGTTAGCAAACAGATTCTCCGAGAGCTTCCAACCTGGCTCGGTTCATAATAACGAGATCTTCGATGACTCCCAGTCAGAAGATGAAAAGTCCGAGGAGGGAGGCACCACGACCAAATTATTGACAATAACAAAGAAAAAAATACTTATTGTCAACAAGAATAAAGAGGAAGGACTACTGTCAGAGGGGGAGGAGAAGGAACCATTGGAGGGGCAGGACTCAGAGTTTATATCTCCAATGGAAGGTATGTTTGAAGAATTGGGGGATGGGAAAGGGAAGGACGAAGAAGCATTTTCCCCGGTCAAGGATTTTAGACCAATACCCTTTCTCTTATTAGCCTTTCCGCCAGCCTCCCCTCTGGCCACTCCTCGGACCAGCCAACCCAGGCGGACCACCCTAGTGACTCTATTCTCTATCAAGAGGTCCAGGATAGGACTAAAAATGCAGAACAGATCAGAGGATGAAGAGATCCGGGGAGAGTCTAAGCTCGAGGAAATTACTAGAAGGCTAGAAACTCTCCCAACAAGGGGAGCAGAGCTCAGACAATAAGAACAGCGAGACGTGCGCTATAGTTGGCAGCGCCCATGCGTACACTAGCCAGGGGAGAAAAGGCAACAGGCACAATCCCGTCTTACCTGGTGCCGATCATATGCTCGTTCGACGGCCGACGAGTTAGGTTCTTAACGACCAAGACCAAGGATGAAACTTTGACCCTCCCGTCAATAATTATGAAAAGCACCCCCTCTCCCACAATGATTTGCAATCTAATCAAGATACACGTACTGCAAAACTTGGGAGAGGTGGCCTGCTTACCAGAACCGAAGCAGTCAAGGCACCTGGCCAGCACGCCTGATGAAGGGAAGAAAATCTTACGATTGCCTTCTTGGATTTATCCTACATTATGGAGAATAAATCCAAGTGGGATGAACTAAAAATCTATAGGGTGGAACTGGATCATCTGGCAACACCCTACTTAGACATCCTCCCCGACATCAAGCTATACCCGGGCCTGTCATCGAAAGTAGTAGCAGACTGCCAGACTGGCTAGATCAGTCGGACAACTGGGGATCTTTATTGCTGGATTCATTCGCGAAGACCCTCCTAAAGCGGCGAGCTGGGAGGAACCTGAACTTTACAGTAGGAGAAGCTCATGTCCAGCACCACCTGGCAATGGGCGAAACCTCTGAGCACAACAACCGCATCCAAGAACACAGCGGCCTAGCTTGCAAGGATGGTTCCACCGAGTAGAATCAAACTTGCTAGATGGAATGTGCGTGGATTGGGTGGCTTGAATAACACTTACAAAAGACAACGATTATTAACTTGGATTACTTCTCAGAATGTCCATATTATTGGACTACAAAAGACAAAAATTAGACCGGATAAACTTGCAGAGATCTCAATATAATGGTGGAGGGGTGCCCAACTCTGGTCCCTAGCAGTGGGGACGAGGGGGGGGGGTGGCCATCCTCCTCGATAAGGACTTGGACATCGAGATAATAGACTCCTGCATTGACACAGAAGGAAGATGGGCATGGCTAAAACTTGCAGTGGCAGATGAAGACTGGGCCGTAGTGTCCCTCTACGCCCCAGTGGAATATGCAGCGAGGATCACTTTTTTTGTGAACCTACCCAGGATCCTACCGGACACCGAGAACCTAATCATGCCGGGGGACTGGAATTGCACCCTGAACCTAGGATCAACATTGCCCCCCGTACGAATACGGGTTGTCCTTATGGCGCATACGGCCGTACGTACGTCTTGCGGAGCAACTGCATCTGATCCATCCCCCCCCCCCCCCCCCTCATGCCGAGCAACTGCATCCAATCCTCCATGAGGTGCATCCCCTCCACCAACAGCCCCATCACCACCTCCCTCCGCATTGTTATCCTCACAACGAATGGGGTCAAGTCCCGGTCTGCAAACTCCGCCATCACCCTGCACGGGTTGGGGGTCGCCCCCTCCTGAACCTCCTCAGGATCGTGGGTCCACTCCCCCATACCGTAGGTATCACGACGATCCGCCACAGCAACGAGTTCGACGCCCGTCTCAAGGGCGCGAGCAGCATCCAAGGTCGCTCTAATATCCTGTGTCATAGGGCAGGACTGAGCAAGCGCTAGTGCTCGCAGTCTCTCCTCTCGGTCCCTCCTATCCACATTCGTCTCCACATCCATCTCTTGCATCGGTGAACAATCGACAACATCCTCCGTACTCCGCATGGCCTGTCTGGACGTACCCTCCATCCCCTGAGCCGCCTCCATCAGCAAACTGCTCGAGACACCCCGTCAATATCTAATCCTTGTACAACCTGGCTGATAGGTGTCTCGCCCGCGGCAACCGGGGCCTGTCCAACATCAAGGGAAATTGGGGGAGGTCCCATCGACATGCCCTGAAAATCGGTCAACGAGCCGGTCGCGGCGGCTAAGTCCCCTGCAGTGACTGTAAGGCCATGGGCAGCCTCGGATCTCCCCCTCTGAGTGGAAAGAGGAGTTTGTCCCCCCGATCCATCTCCTCCTCCCCTGGCTGCCCCCCCCGCACCATGATCTCTCTCCTCTTCCAATCTCGCAGAACGTCGCTGACCCTGCTGCCCAGCAGGAGTAATGTCTCGAGGACCATCATCACCTCCCAGTGTGGCGTCGTCCGCACCGCTGCCGAAATCCATATCATTGTCGGACTCGCTGCTGCCCTCATACACTCTATCGTCGTCGTCACTGCCTGAGTCGATGGATGTACGTTGTCGTTGTCGAATGGACGGGCCTTGGCGTTGTGCCTCTGCATGACCTGCCCTATCAACCACCGCAGGTGCAGGTGCAGCAGTGTCTCGTGGGCGAGGTGAAAGATGAGGACGGACTGAGGTCGACTCTCGCGTCTCACGCCGCATCTGTGCAAGAGGAAAATCATCGTCGGAAGACCGCCCCCACTCCACATCCAGGTCTTTGGGATCTGACCATGGTTCCTCCTCAATCTCATCCTGCGCGAGCGGGTCGTGCTTAGGGTCGTACACCACCTCCTCAAGAGAATAGTAGCTCGCCTGCCGAAGTATCTTTCCACGAGCGTGGGTTGTCGAGTGAGCGAATCCTTCCACCCCTTGCGCACCTGCCTGTCCAGCTGCTCATCGGAGACCTTGTCCGCGGGGCGGACTCCCGAGTCACGGGGCTTCGGTCTCTCCTCCTGCATGACGACGTCCTCGTCCTCCCATGGCAAGACATACCCCACACCCCTCCTGTGGCATCAAAGCAGTCTCAAATTGGTGGATATCTCCACCAAACGAGTGAGCTTGGTAAAACCAAGCTTGTTAAGTCGCTTCAGCTGAACGCACTCGTGAACACCGGCCCAGTTCCTCTCCGCAGGAGAGGCACATGTCCACGTGTGCATAAGGCGAACAATGATACTCTGCAACAAAGGAACACCGTCCCCCCACTGCTCCCACCACTGACCAACCGACGATGTCTCCTTCTTCCCCTTGCAACTCTCCGCATCTCTATCCCCATCGTGACCGCCATATGTACAATCGCCCTCTCGACTGTGGAACTCCCTCAAAGCTGTCCTCAAATCCGGATACAGCTGTCTGTCCGATCCCGCCTGCTGTCAGAGGTAAATGTCAGCCTCCACTGCCAACTCCCTCTCTTGATCTGTCCTCCGCGCCCCCTCAAAGTAAGCAATGCTCCTGTGCTGCGGGTTAAGGAGATGGGCCACACAATGAGCAGACGCCAACATATACCTCCTTCGCGCCTGCAGACCTCTAACAAGGGCGTCGAGCTCTGCACGACTGGTGCGCCAGGAAGGCGCCTGAGCCACCCTCTGGATGACCCTGTCCGACCATGACCACAAGCGTGACATCGCACGCCCCCCACGATCGAGTCTGCGCAACAACTGCATGACAGGTGTCATCAACTCGACAATGTCCTCGACGTTGTCCCAAAACGCAGAGAATCTTACCTGCTGCCGCACCCACTGTGACTGAAGCCATAAGCTCCGCCTCCACGGCTGTTGCAACCACTCATCGTTGATCATCATATCCTCAAGCTCGTGACATCACTCCGATAGCCTCCTTAACATCAAGTAGTGTGTGATGAATCTGGTCTACACCGGATAAATGAGCTCCCGACCGCGACCAGAGGTGCCACTCGAAGCCGACAACAACGCTGTCTGCCCTTTGGGAGGGTGATACGCGAAGAATCGCCTGAAAAGGGTGAGGGCAGCCCCGTGTGACCAAATGAATCGCACGACCGCCCTCGCTCTGATGATGGTGTCGTCCCTGTGTCCAACGACACCATCTCGCCCGTACTTGCCAATGTCCGACAACATCAAGTTGCAAACATGCACAGCACATGGAAGCCAAGTGATCTGACTGTATTGAAGATCCTTATCATGCGCAAGGAGCTTCGCAGCTGCAACGTATCTCCCCGCAGAGTCCGTATAAATAGCATTGACATTTTCAACACCGAAGTCATCAAATATCTTCTTCCACTGCCTCACAACCACACTCGCCGTGTCCTGCTCAGCCCCGTCCCTCAGGACTGTCCTCAACAGGTACGCCCCTGAAGATCCGTCTGCCAAAAAGTTTACTATCTCACCAGTGATGGATTTGCGACCATCCGTGAGGATGGTCGCTCCTGTTGCCGCCATATCTCTCTCGAGCGTCATCAGCATATCCGCAACGCCCTTGTGCTGCTGGACAATACCATCGCCAAAGATGTGGTGATTGTTGGGCACAAATGGATGCACCCGAGGGGGACATGTATCGAGGTGCTTCCTGAACGTGTTGAACTCAGGCCTCTTCGTCGCGCGGAACGGGATGCCGCTAACATAGAACCACTGCAGGAAATACGCGTCCAAGTCTTGCTGCCATATTGGATCGAAGGAATCATTCATGCGCGACTGATGAAACTTCTTCGTGGCCCCTGTCATCGGCAGACCCTGCGAAGAAGTCTTCCTCTTCCTCGACGTCCTAATGTTAGTGACCGCTCTCTTCTTTGCTGCCAACGCTCCGCGGTCACGCTCCGCCTCCTCTTCGACGTCTTCGTCCACCACTCGCTAAGGGTCATCTTCGTCGTTGTCTCCCGAGTCTCCCTTTTGTTGACCAAGTTGTCCTCTCTTGGCTGCCCATCCCCTCTTCGCAAGGTACGCCTGTATCGTCTTCTAGTGGCTCTGATCAAAGTGGTATGCACTCTTGTTTGAGATGTCAACCAAAATGTCCAACGTGGCTTGCGGGCAATTATTCTTGATTGTGTAGTGCAACGCGCACTTGCTCTGACTGCCGACAAATTCTTGGTCACACAGCTTGCACTTCATGACGAAGTTGCCATTCCGGTTTGGCAGCGTCTGCCCCTTCTGCATCCATTTGAACCTAACGAACTTGAGCTCCACCTCTCTCTGCGTCTCTCTGTTCACAGGCATGAGCTCCTTTTGTGGTCGAGCGGCATCTTGAATGACACCCCGAGTGCCCCCCACTGCGGTCCAATCTGATTTTGTGGCACCCCTTGTGCAGTACCCATGCTTACAACTGCCCCTTGGGCCGCCCAGCAGGCAGGCCTGCGGGGCCTTTGCGGCCCAGGACCCGGCGGCGCAGGGCGGCGCTTCACACGCGCGAAGAAAGGACCCGCCCCAGCCTGTGTGCCGTTTAGGGTACGACGGGTACGCCTGTACGAACGGGCCGTACGTACGTGCGTATGGGCCGTACGACCGGGCCGTCGACCCGCCGGCTCCCTCTCTCTCTCTCTCTCGCACACGAGCACACAACTCTTCCGTTGCGGCTCCTCGACGATTTTCCAGCGAAGTTGGCGGCTTCTCCCTAGCGGCTGCTCCCTCCACGTGGCGGTGACGGCATGGCATGACGATTCGACGGCGCCGTACGTACTGGCCGGTTTAGGCGTACGTCACGTTCGTACGACCTCGTCAGTGCATACGGCGCGTGCAGACGAACCGGGTCGTACGGACGATCTCTCTCTCTCTCTCTCTCTCTCTCTCTCTCTCTCTCTCTCTCTCTCTCTCTCTCTCTCTC